AACACTTCTCCCTGAATTTCTCATCGGGTCTACCACCCACCTTTTTTTGATATCCCCAAGGCCGAGGCAATGAAGGTCATGTTTATCATTTTTAACTGCCTTTAGCTGATTCTCTTGCTATCTACAGGCAAGTATCATTTACCCAGTGGCTTGTAGACCTCCAAAGCCTTGTTTCTACACTATTTTGAATAATATTTGAGTAAAAACATTGATGCCACTTTCACGACGTTTCGGCCGTTGTATGCTCCGGCCTTCTTCAGGTGATTGGAATTTTGAAGTGAACCCTTTATTTCGTCCACCGGGGTAGACTTTTTTTGTTCACCACTGCAATAGCCAGGTACTGAAGTCACAACTCTTTGGGGTTCAGTCACTTGGCCCACCGGATAAAAGCGTTGGTTAGCTCCAGTGACTTGACCCAAAGAGATGTGAATTCAATACCTGTCTACTGCAGTGGTAAACAAAAACTTGGCGAGTCAAGTGACATAACTGAGAAATCCGGAAAAGACATGGCACGTGGAACTAGACAATTCTACACCGAAAGATGAAATAAAGGGTTCAGTTCAAAATTCAAATCACCTGAAGAGGGCTGGAGCGCACACGGCCGAAACGTCGTGAATATGGCAATAAAAATGAAGAAAACAGTCCGAACAATGTAAATAATGTAAATAATTGCAATACCTCATCTCAGAAATACAGACTGATATTAAAAGCATTTAATCTTGATTAAATTTTTACGCTATCAACAACAGATTCGGGAAAGAAGGTAGCTAAAGAAAGCGAGAAGAAAGGACTAAGTGTAAACTATAAGAAGACAGAATACTTGGTTATTAGAAAAAGGGTCATCCCAAAATTCAGATTACGAATCAGGGATACTAAAATTAAACAAATACAAAAACTTGAATATCTGGGTAGTATTCTAACAGAGAACCGGAATGTGCGACACTGAGATCCGAAGACGTATTGCAATGGCCGAAGATGCATTCCAAAAGCTAAGCAGAGTATTAAGAGAAGAGAAAAAAATTCGTTAGAAACAAAGAAAAAGGTACCGAACAGTTCCATGAATACTAGAAAATCTTAAAAATGAAGAAAAGACTTGAAGGGACTTGGTTCTACAGAAAGATGCTGAGGATATCATGGATCGAAAATGCGTGATACAACAAGGTTTTGGAGAGAATGGAGACACAAAGGAAAATTATACATAACATCAGGAAGAGGTAATTGAAATTTCTAGCTACGTAATGAGATAGGAGGGCTTGGAAAATCTGATACTCACAGAGTAGATTGATGGAGAGAGGGACTGATGAAAGCATCGTGTAACATACTTGATGAGCTCGGATAAATAGATGGTAAAACTGGCTTTGGGAGAAAATAACAGAGACAGAACATATTAAATTCTACAAGAGACAGGAAGATGTGGAGGGTCATGATCGTCTACGTCCTGAAGGCACCCGACACATAAAAGAAGAAGAAACTTTATGCTTATATGAAAATGGAACAATTAAAACAGTAGCTGGCGCACCTCTCAAATGTGTGGAAGAATTTACTTATCTTGTTAGTAAAATCTCTAGCTCCGAAAGAGATGTATACGCACGCATTGGAAAAGCTTGGAGTGCCGTCGAAAAGTTATCTCTAGGGTAGAAATCTGGACTTCCAGACAACATAAAAAGATGCCTCTTTGAAGAAACTGTTGCGTCTGTTCTATTGCATTGCTGCTAAAAAAAAAACAAACTTTACATTAAAAAAAATCAAAACAAAACAAAACAAAAAAAAAATCAAAACAAGCCCCCCGAAAAAAAAAACCAACTCGAAAGAAGTATAAATGGAACATAGTGGGTATGATTTCGAATGTCACCTGGAGAAGGAGATCGTCTGATTAATGAGGGATTGTATAGAAACTTCCGTCAAGTATCAGGCACCGTCAAAGAGCTTCGAGTCAGTTTCGCAGTACATTGCTGTAGAGCTAATGACTAAATTATTAGTGAGTTTCTTTTGTCGGGCGCAGGACAACTGAACACCGCCGACAGAACACCTCCGACTGAGCGCGGGGACTACTCAGAACCGAGAAACCTCAGCACCGAATAAATGTAATATATTAAAGATTAAAAACTCAATTAGTGATTATTTTTCTTCAAATAAAACATTTAAAAAGACATGTAAAATATGTTTTTTTTGTTTTTTAAATATTTTTAATAAATTATCTTATTGAAAGAATTAAATTGACATATAAAAAATAATTCAATAAAACACAATTGCATTATTTAAAAAATAAATTACATTACGGTTTACTTTATTAAAAATAATTAAAAACAAAAACTGCTTCATTTCGTTTTTCATTTTTCGATTCACAGTTTCCATCCATTTTAGTTAGGTACCTCAACGAGATCGCTAAAATCGAGCATAGCATGATGAAAAAGACGCCAAACTTGACGAAAACAAATTTTTATCGTCTAAATGTTTATGTTATTATTAAGAGGAAAGATCAAAGTATTTTGGGGGTATTTTTTTACACTTTTTAATTGTTCCTAGCACGTCCGAAATTTTCCTTAAACATCTTGTTTTTTTTTTCGTCAGCGCTCTAATTTTTTTTTGTACTTAGCTTTCACCTTTACGTTTACAATGCTTTACAGAAAATATATTATAAAGAAATTAAAATAAGAGATTAAATTTCATATTTCATAAAAAATGTATCTAATTAATTTATAGGTATCTTTCTTATGAAATATTACCAGAAGTGTACATAAAATACTATAATTTTATGTACATTTATTATATTTTACTGTTTTATTTGTATTTCCATTCATTTTATTATTAATTTTGATATTTCATTTATGAAAAATGTCATAACTGAGATTAATATAAAAATAATATCATATAAATTAGCGTCACTTTAGTGGCATCCTGGTCTGTCGTTCACTACTAATAAAGTTTGATTTTTAAATCTGCCATTCGTCCATGTCTCGAATATTTTTGCCGCACATTGTCTGGTGCTCCTGTCATACATTTAAAGACTCTTCATAAAAAAATCTGCAACGTTATATCGACTGCAGTCGCTCTAGCACCATCGTAATGTAGCTTTCCGGTGCCTTTTCTATAAATACTTTTAAGATAATTGTCCTGATGATCTTTTATCTGTTACCTAGACTTTATGGATTTAAGCGCAGTACTAGATTGGAAGCAAGGTCTCGTCATTTTAAAGATGAAACGACTAGACATAACCGTAATTTCTATGTTAACAGTTTCTTCTCTCATAATTCTCACTTGTAGAACTCTCTTCCGGCTTCTTGCTTTCCAGTCAACTTTGATCTTCTAAAAATTTAAATGCAATGTCAATCGTTATTTTTCCTCTTTTTAATTCTTCTTGTTCTTGTTCCCTCTCTTTAATAGTATTTTTTCATATTATTTAACACTTAGTATCTCTTTGCGTCTTAGTGGCTTTATTATCTTGCTTGGGTTGAAATTATTAAAAAAATATATTTCTTCTTAAATGCCGCTCTTCTCGTGACCTAATTGGTAACGGCAAACTTAGGATTAGTTTTAATGATGGGAAAAAGGGGAATACAGGTTAGATTCCTGTCGGGGGTGGGTACATTTTTCTTCAGAAGGACATCTCGATCTAGGCCGGTTGATATAAATTTCGCTATCTGTCTATATTTCCGAGGGAAATTAACAGGAGATAACTGTTAACTGACATCCATTAAACATGGCACGTGGAACTAGAACAGTCTACCCCAGTGAGCGAAATAAAGGGTTTAGTTTGACATTCCAACCACCTGAAGAAGGCCGGAGCGTACAACGACCGAAACGTTGTAATAAATATGGCAACAAAGATGAGGACGATAGTCCGAATAATGTAAATAATATAAATTTCGCTGTTTAAGAAAAAAAGAAAACTGTATTATCAACTAAAAATACATTTACCCACCAAAAAAATTTATAACAAAAATTAATGAATATTTGACTAAATAATATTATTATGTATAAAGTTAAAATATTTCAGTAAAACTTGACGATCTGAGGTAAAAATTATTATCCTACAGTAGTAAGTGTCGGGAATAAAAATTATTATCCTACAGTAGTGAGTGTCGGGAATAAAAATTATTATCCTACAGTAATGAGTGTCGGGTATAAAAATTATTATCCTACAGTAATGAGTGTCGGGTATAAAATTTATTATCCTACAGTAGTGAGTGTCGGGAATAAAAATTATTATCCTACAGTAGTGAGTGTCGGAAATAAAAATTATTATTCTACAGTAGCGAGTGTCAGGAATACAAATTATTATCCTACAGTAGTGAGTGTCGGGAATAAAATAAGATGCATATCAACTTTGCATATAGGACTGATGGGCCGAATTCTGAGGCCATATGACGTCATATACAGTCTGTATAATAATTGCCAATAGCTCCCAGCGTAGAAAAACTGTTTAAATGATTTATAACTTCGCTTAAAAAGCTTCTTTTTTTTTTCGCTGAAGATATGAGATTAATAATAACTTTTCAGCGACATCATGACCTAATCTCACGAACAGCCGATGGCCGTCGCCATTTGCGACTATTCGACAATAGCCGAATACAGATAAGAAATTTCGAAAGAACACACACCATCTTTTCAACTATTGTGTAAACCGACGTACATGATAATAATAATAATAATAATAATAATAGTAATAATAGACTGATATAGATACCTACCTGAAGAGAAATAAATACATCGACTGAATATATATGGCATAGATTCTATTCCTCTTCTCACCGTTTTTTTAAAGGAAAGTATAATTGATCACTTAGATTAAGTTTGTGAGAAAGCCCATATCAACTCAGTTAAATAAAGCTATTACTAAAGAATTAATGGTTTTATCTTTAAGCAGACATTTAATTAATTAAAACGTTACTATAGTGGATACTCGTATTTAGAAAAGACGCTCAATTTTCATTTTAACTTTTAAAGAGCGTTTCTTCCATTTCTTTGTTTCTTGTTTCCATTTTCGTTTTCGCTTCTTTCATTCTTTACATCTTTCTTTTTTTAGCTTTCTTCTTTCATTCATGTTTCCTCCATTTTATTCTTCTTTCCTCCCTTCCTAAGTTTTTCTTCCTTCTTTCCTTCCTTCTTCCCTTCTTTCTTTCTTTCTTTCTTTCTTTCCCCCTTACTACTTTCTTTCTTTTCTTCTTTCTTTACTTCCTTTTTTCCGTCCTTCTTTCCCCTTCCTTCTTCCCTTCATTTCTTTCTTTCTTTCTTTCTTTCTTTCTTTTTTCTGTCCTTCTTTCCTTCCTTCTTCCCTTCATTTCTTTCTTTCTTTCTTTTTCTCTCCCTTCCTTCTTTCTTTCTTTCTTTCCCCGTTCCTTCCTTCATTTCTTTGTTTGTTTGTTTGTTTGTTTCTTTCTTTCTTTCTTTCTTTACTTCCTTTTTTCCGTCCTTCTTTCCTTCCTTCTTCCCTTCTTTCTTTCTTTCTTTCTTTCTTTCTTTCTTTCTTTCCTTCCCCCTTCCTTCTTTCATTTCTTTCTTTCTTTCTTTTCTTCTTTCTTTACTTCCTTTTTTCCGTCCTTTTTTCCCCTTCCTTCTTTCCTTCCTTCTTAAATTCATTTCTTTCTTTCTTTCTTTCTTTCTTTCTTTCTTTCTTTCTTTCTTTCTTTCTTTCTTTCTTTCCTTCCTTTTTTCCATCTTTCTTTCCCCTTCCTTCTTTCCTTCATTCTTTCTTTCCTTCCTTCTTTCCTTCCTTCTTTCTTTCTTTTCTTTCTTTTTCTCCCCCTTCCTTCTTTCATTTCTTTCTTTCTTTTCTTCTTTCTTTACTTCCTTTTTTCCGTCCTTCTTTCCCCTTCCTTCTTTCCTTCCTTCTTCCCTTCATTTCTTTCTTTCTTTTTCTCCTCTCTTTCCTTCCTTCCTTCCTTCCTTCTTTCCTTCCTTCGTTTCTTTCTTTCTTTCTTTCTTCTTTTTCCACCCTTCTTTTCTTCATTTCTTTCTTCTTTCTTACCTTCTATTTTCCCTCTCTTTCTTCTTTTTTTTCTTCGTTTCTACCTTCCTTTATTCTTTTGCTCATTATTTCCTTCCTTCCTTCTTTCCTTCATTTCTTCCTCTGTAGTTTTGCATTTCTTTTTTGCTCCTTTTATGCGTTGCATTTTTTCCTTCTTATTAGCTTTAGATTTCTCTTTCTTTTTCTCTTTCTTCCTTTGTAATTGATCATTCCTTTCTTTTTTATCTTTTTCATTCTTTCGTTCTGTCTTTGTTTTTCTTTCTTATTTTATTTTTCAGTATCTTTTTGGTTTTCATTCTTTATATCTTGCCTTCTCTTTGCTTTGCATTTCTCTTACCTCCTTTCTTTTCCTTCTTTGTTCATTCCTTTCCTTTTTATCTTTTTCTTTCTTTCAATTCTTAATTTATTTATTTTTTCTTTCTTATTTTATTTTTTGTATCTTTTTGTTGGTTTAATTCTTTCTATCTTTCCTTCTTTTTAGCTTTATATTTTTTCTTTCCTTGTTTTTTTTTTCTTTCATTGCCGTTTTGCATTTCATTTTCTTACTTTTACGCTTTGCATATATCTTTCTTTTTCTTTTTGCCTTTTTTTTATTTCTTTCTCATTTTCCATGTCTCTTTTGCTCCTTTTTCTTTTGTACATCATTCATGCTTTGGAGATTTACAATTCTATTTCTTTCTTCCATTATTTCTTTCTTTTCGGCTTTTCATTTCTTTCCTTCTTTTTTTTTTATCTTTGTATTTCTTTGTTTCCTGTTTTTACCTATATTTATTGATTTTTCGAGCTTCGTAATTCCCCCCACTCCCAGCTTGTATTTCTTTGTTTAATTTTTACTTCTTTTCCTTCTCACATCTTTCTTTATTTCATACTTTTTCTTCTTTACTTCTTTGGATTTTAAATTTATATTTGAAAATTATTGAATTCGTAATTCATTAAAAATCATTTAATCCGATGTAATTTTCTTGAAATCAAATTTACTCCAACTTAATCTCTACCCGCCCTGCAATATTTATCCATCGTCCCTGATCTACATCTAGGACTATTTGCCTATAAGTATATATATATATATATATATATATATATATATATATATATGCCATTCGCAGTGCGACTAGACAAATGAATGCCTCGGATCGAATCACAAACGATTTAATGTCAATCAGAGCTTCTGCCACTGAGCCATGTTCACTCGACAGAACGAGTCAGCCAAATCTAGCGTATTGTTTTTACAAACGTAAACAAATACCAAAGTATATATATATAAATACATACATATATATATATATATATATATATATATATATATATATATATATATATATATATATGAACGATAAAAAATATTAAAAAATTAAAATCTTCAGACACATTGGGCTGTATATTAATATTCGTTCGTGTTTATTTCTGGCATTTAATATATATATATATATATATATATATATATATATATATATATATATATATTAAGAAATGTACATAAAACCCCATGACCACAGTACAACTTGGAGTTTCAGGGTCTATAAATAGTCCAAGATATAGATCATGGAATATATATATATATATATATATATATATATATATATATATGTGTGTGTGTGTGTGTGTGTGTGTGTGTAAATGTAGAGAAAGAAACAGATTTAAATCAGACACACGTAAACACTTCCCCCCATATATATATATATATATATATATATATATATATATATATATATATATATATATATATCGATATTTACGAATCTTCGCTGAACACAGCTAACACAGTGCCAGATGTGAGAGGAACAGGTCAACGAAGAACTGTAAACGAAACTTGTGCCATAAACTATTGATATGTGCTGAGCTCAGATTATTCGCCAGAAGGCCTCAAACGTGTGACATCCACTGAAAATGTAACTCAAGTTGGTATTAGTGCTTTATCAGGAAAAAGCGAAAAATTGCTGAAGTCTTTGCTGAGTAAGATTTTTATGTATCTCTCTCTCTTTCACTTTCTCTCTCTCTCTCTCTCTCTCTATATATATATATATATATATATATATATATATATATATATTTTCATGCACTGAACTATCTATTGCATATATAACTGTAACTACACACACACACACACACACACACACACACACACATATATATATATATATATATATATATATATATATTAAAAAATGGACAAAGTCCGACAATTTATTTATTAAAGACATTTTTATGTTTAACGTTCTTTTTTATAGATACAAATATTTAAGTAAATGCTCTGTTTATAATAAACAGTATTAAATAACATTTACCGGCCTGAATGTCCGAGAAATTTTCATAGAAAATATTCGTCCTATGACAGGATTCGAACCTGCATCCTATACGGAACCGTCATTTACGTCATTTGTGGCCGAGTCGGTTAAGGCACGTCAGCGTAAATGACATTTTTAAGGACATAGAGATGACGGGCTCACGGTAGAGAGGAGTTCCACTAATTTTAAAATAAAGAAAATTAGAAAGATTATATATAGTGAATTTAGAAATCTAAATTTAAAAACAACAGTCTGTACTAAATTATAAAGGATAAACTTCCTCGACGTAACTCTAGATTTAACAAACAACACATACCTACCTTATAGAAAATCTAATACTAACTCCTTGTATATACACACTAAGTCAAATCACCCTCCATCCATAATTAAGCATATACCCTCATCAATAGATAATAGAATCAGCATTAATTCCGCTAATAAAGAAATATTCCAACAACACAGTAATTTTTATAACGCAGCCCTAAAAAATAGTGGATACAAAAATGCTAACATCAATTATAGAAACAATTGTACTATCCAGAAGAAAAACAGGAAAAGAAAAATCATTTGGTACCGTATACCCCTCCGTTCAACCAAATGGTTAGTATTAAGCTAGGAAAAAATTCCTAGCTTTAACTGAAAAGCACTTTCCTACTAATAGTAGACTTAGTAAAATATTTAATAAAAACACCCTAAAATTAAGTTACAGTTACACTGAAAATCTAGAAAGTATAATAAAAAACACAATAATAAAATCCTGAATAAATCCCCATGCCAGAATAGTATTAATAAAAACCCTACACTTAAATTAGACAAAAATAGTGAAAAATTATGTGATTGTAGAAACTCAGAAGACTGCACATTGGAAAATAAATGCCACGTAAAATCTGTGGTATACCAATGCACTATCTCATCCATTGAGAGTCCTAATACTAATATGATATACATTGGGTCTACGAAGAATGAATTTAAAACCAGATGGAGGCAACATAAGTGCTCCTTTAACAATATTAATAAAAGAAATCAGACATCTCTATCTAAATATTTTTGGTATTTGAAGGAAATGAATAAAACACCAAAAGTAAAATGGAAAATTATAAACAAAACTAGAACTTGTAAAACTTGGGATGACCCATGCCCTTTATGCCTACATGAAAAACTACACATTATCAAATTTCTAAATAATGAAAATTTATTAAACAATAGACATGAATTAACGGTTTTTTGCCGATATGATGAAATTTTCGGATTGAATAATTAGCATAAAAACAAACAAACAAACAATAAAACAATAAATACAAATTTTAAATTCCATAGTCTAAATAAAAAGTTTAAATGCCCTACCCAATAAAAACAACAAAAAAAACAAAACATTATGAAGTCGTCAAAAAAACAAATGTTAGCGAATTATGACAGTTTTTTTATATATACACAAAACCCTTTCAGGAAAAAAATAAAAAATAAGATAAAAAAATAAATAAATCTCCATAGACACTTAACCAGACTAGACGATGTCATCTTCCGCTTTCAATTTAGACACCCCCACCTTACCCTGACTTGACCTCTTTGAATGTAACTGAGATATTGATACAAATTATTAACCATTACGCCACCCTTTTTTTAAATAAATGGTCTAGCCGTTACCATAGTAATTGTAATTTTAATAATGAATATGCTTATAAAACGTGAATTATTTATTCCCCAAAAAAGTTTCGCTTGAAGATGGAACAGAGCTTGGTACTTTAATTCAATTTAATTCAAATAATTATATTGAAGTTTTCGGCTCTTGATTTGTAACTCTTATGTAGCGATGGAATCATATTTTTAAATAAATAAATATATATATATATATATATATATATATATATATATATATATATATATATATTTATAAATTAACTGATTTAAAATATATATATATATATATATATATATATATATATATATATATATATATATATATATATGTTCAAATTTATAGTGAGCAGTTACCGACCACGACTGCCAGTTTTATGTGTTTTCACGCAATCATCAGGCGGTCGAAATTTAGGTATAATTCAATCCATATCTATCTATCTATCTATCTATCTATCTATATCTATATCTATATATATATAGATATAGATATTTGAGTCTGTTATCTCTTTATTTGTCTACTGTATGGGAGTTGCTCAATGTGTGAAATGTCACTCAGAAATCCATATTAGTATCGACGTATAGAAAACGAATTTCAAATGATGATATTTCCAGACAAACTGACTCATTTCGTCTGATAGATCAGGGATTCAAGCCATTTCTCCCTTTTCATCTCAATACGTTATGATTACTTGTAAAATCTGCCGAAATCACGCACTGTAATTATCAACGCATCTTTCTTTGCTAACTGCGATCTTTTTTTTTTATTCCCCTCCGGCGCCATTGTATCTTCTCAATTATTTTCTCATTGTTGTGCTTGGGATCGAAAGATCAGAAGGATATGATATTTCGCTTCGCCCTCTTCGAGCAGTGTCTTGAACGCCATTACTTTCTTAACGATTCTTCTGTTAGCTTCTACTTTAGCCATCTTGGTAACACATGTCTTCTGCGCACAATGCTTCTGCATGACTACACAGAGTTATTTTATTCCCCCCCTTCTTCGTAGCTGATATAGTTGCGTGTTTCTCACCAGGCTGATATTCCAGTTATAGGCAAAGAGCCAATATTTCGCATTCTAACTGACAAGACAAACAGGCCCTCCCCAGTTGAAATATTTGAGCAGATAATCTTACGAAATCTACGAGCAAAATATATACTCATAGGTGAGAGTGTAATTTCCACTGATGCCTGCGGTCAGAGTTCGAGCCCAGTTCAATAGATAACTTTCTCTTCTTCTTGACGCAACACATTCTTCCTAGCATTACTTTATTTTTGCTTTACCTCATACAAGATTAAACTAAGTTTATTATAGATCTAAATATTCACATTTTTTGAATATCCCAAATACTTCGATTTTTATCAGTTCATGTGTTTACGACAGTATCATGTTTAAATGTTCCTTACGATTACGGAAGTAAAGCAACGTCGAACCTGATCAGTACCTAGATAGGTGACCTCTCGGGGATATCAAATGCTGTATGTTTCGTTGTGCGGGTGGTGTAATGGATAATGGCTCGGAATTGTTAATCGGAGAGCCGAGTTCCAATTCCCATTGAGTTCGTTGTATTGACTTCCGCTCAAATACCTTTGGGAATGTTATGAATCCAGCTCGTCTCCCCCAGCTACGGGTTAATTAGTAAAACTTGTATGACTAAACCATTATTATCTCCAAAAAGGAAAGAAAAAGAAAACGTTCTTACAACCTAAAATATTTATGGCTTTAAATAACCTGCACAGTGTCGATATCCCGTAAAAAGAATCACTCAGTCTATTTATAATTTTCATCGCGTGAATATCTCAGCTGGTTTAGATAATGTGGAATAAGTTGAATAAGTCAAATTATATTTTGACTTATTCGAATTGATGTTCATATGTTTGACTGTTGACAATGCTGTTATAAATACAAGGTTTCAGCAAAATACGCTCTGACCATCTGAAGATGTCAATTAACTTTGGCTTTATCTTTACAAGACTCAGATCAGACCCCAAATGGATTATTGCTGTCATATCTTAACTGGAGCTATTCAATTCGGACTTGCCTGTCTTGATGGAGATCCAAATCCCTTACGCGACATGTAGACAATTAATTATTTTACAAGTGACAACCCATATTCCCGTAGACCAATGTTCTGATGAACTAAATTTTTGACTTTCAGCAGTCCGGACGTTCGCAGTGAGGACCTGTCATGTTACGTACACGGAGACGAATCAACCTCATTTCCTTCGTATTCAATTACCAAGAAGAAAGTTCGACTAAACAGAATTACGACTTTGTGGAAAAGACTCACAATAAGTTGTTTTCTCGTACACTACAATCTTACCTTTTTCAAGTCGAGAGTTGTTTGTTATCTCTTTTAACCAGAAAAAAAGAAAGGACTTCTTGCATCTCCTTCTGACGCTTATACAATATTATTTATTAACTCTCTGCCTTCAGTTGATTTGGGACTTTGTATTGGGGGAACATTACTAAAAAATATAAATTAAAAAAACAAAAAACATGAGTGTTAAGTTTAGTAATAGCAAGTGCAATAATAATCACATAATGAGCGTTCAATTGTATTTAAATAGTCGAACGCAGACTCGAGGATCTGAAGAACAACTTTCCAAGAAGGAGAACGAGTACTCATTTAAAATTCTGAGCTCGATCACCATCCTCACGAAAAAAAAGCATTCTGTAACTATCTCGGATACCGAGAAGCTAAGTAAAGAATATGCATGAATAGATAGATAGATAGATAGATAGATAGATAGATAGATAGATAGATAGATAAACAGAAATGAACAAACTGAAATAGATAAAAACAGACAGCGACAGATAGATAGATAGATAGATAGATAGATAGAAGATAGATAGATAGATAGATAGATAGATAACGATAGATAGATAGATAGATAGATAGATAGATAGATAGATAAATAGAAATGAATAAACTGAAATGGACGAACTGCTGGATAGATAGATGGACAGATAGATAGATAGATAGATAGATAGATAGATAGATAGATAGATAACGAAGAGACTTGGATAGATAGATAATGAAGAGACTTGGATAGATAGATAGATAGATAGATAGATAGATAGATAGATAATGAAGAGACTTGGATAGATAGATAAAGAGAAATGAACAGACTGAAATAGATAAAGAACAGACTGCGACAGATAGATAGATAGATAGATAGATAGATAGATAGATAGATAACGAAGAGACTTGGATAGCTAGATAGCTAGCTAGGTAGATAGATAGATAGATAGATAGATAGATAACGCACTGACGACAAAAGGAACAAAGGAGAAAATGAACAATGCTTTGCACAGATTAGAAAAGAATTAATAGCAAGACATTAATATAATTATTTATATTATGTCCAGCCTGGATGTTCGAGAGATTTCGTAGAAAATATGCGCTCTTCTGAGAGGAATCGAGCCTGTAACCCATATGGGGACCATCATTAGAAAGGTTTAATTATAAACAGAGCATTTACTTAAATTATATCTATAAAAATAACGTACAAAATATATATTAAATAATTATCACACTTATGCATTTCATAATATATATATATATATATATATATATATATATATATATATATATATATATATATATGTGTGTGTGTGTGTGTGTGTGTGTGTGTGAGGGGTGTGGGGGTGGACAGTTTTTCTATAATTTGTTATCTGAAAAGAAAATCATATGAGAAATTGTATAAAAAATAAATCAAAACTGTCGCATTGTCTGTCGCATTCAATATAATATACATGAAAATATATAATATATATATATATATAATATATATATATATATATATATATATATATATATATATATATATATATATATATATATATATATATATATATATATATATATATATATATATATATATATATATATATATATATATATATATATATATATATATATATATATATATATATATATGTATATATAAAATACATTCTCTATTTTTCATAAGGATCGTTCCAAACATCATTTGCAAGTGTTAGAATCTGTATGTATTAAATTACAGCAACCTTCTTTATGCAAGCAGAAGGAGAATTTTCTTCGTTCACTTCATTTATTTGGAGGATTTTGAGTATTAATTTCTTTCAAATTTTACACACCCGTTGGAGTATTTACAACTTTTGAATTTACGTATATTTTAATCCTTAATTAACATGTTTTAAACGCACTCCAAATTATCCTCTATATTCCTTATCTATTCATATCAATTCTGATACAATAACGTTGGTCCATGAAGAAGTGTAAGCCGAAAGGAGCCTTGGTTCAAAAAAAAAAAAAAAAAAGAACACTAAACAGTGTTTAAGCAATATATACATATATGAATCAAAAGATAAGAAAAATAAACTTCTTAGACGACGCTTTTTATCCTCTGATGGACTTTATCAAGGCTAATGTAGGATTTATTTTGTTGCACGTGTTTTATACAAATGTATGAATGTCAATTGTCCATTAAGGATTTTAAATTGAGAACTTTCATGAATATTCATCAAGTGGTTGAAAAGTCAGTTAAAACATCTGGAGATCACAAAGTGCCATAATTCAGCGTCTGGTAAAAAAGCCAGTAATTTTTAAGAAACATATTTATTTTAATATATATATATATATATATATATATTTTGCATATGTATGTATATTTACCACTAATATTATCTATCTATCTATCTATCTATCTATCTATCTATCTATCTATATATATATATATATATATATATATATCTTTCAAAAATGAATATTGTTTTAATTGAGATTACATTTATGGTCTGAGATGGAGGCACGTGCTGTACATGTTCAAAAAACTTATTGTAATGGATTTAACGGTTTTCTTTGTGATTTTCCAATATATTAGTAATCGTGTATGTTGGCTTGGGAAAAGTAGTAATTATTTCAGGAAGGATGAGATTGGAAAGAAACCGAAGTGTAGATTCATATTTTGCGGCACTCTCTGCAATTTTCCTTCTGAGTAAATAAATTTCTTTATATATACATATATATATATATATATATATATATATATACTAGTATGGGCCTGGCGTTGCCCGTGTTTGATTCAAAAATCGTACGACTCATACAGCAATCGCTATCACTTGACTTAAATTATTTTTGCCTTCCTTGCCTTTTAAAGGAGTGCCCTTTGCCGTGCTGATGTTGCTACATGCCTTACTTCTTGCCTATCTCACACTGCGAATTTTTTCTAAGCTCTATACTAAACATTAAATCTGTTACGAAAAAGAACTAAACAAAATGAACACAAAATGATCAGCTTTAAAAAGGACTCGTAACTGGAAAAACCGAATGAAAAAAGAATGTTAACAACAAATACTTTTCCACATCCAACCCAGTTCTGCGGAATCAGAATCAACGTTGAGTTTAAGCAAGCGAATGAGCCAATTGGAGTAAAGTGCCTTGCAGATTTAAATTTTTTCCTACTTGGGACGAATGCAGCTATCGATTTTTTTTTTTGCATGCTAGCATGCTAGTTAACATTCGTGTCAGTCAGCTGTTGGCTCTCACGCTGGCCAATAGAATCTTCCTGCATATTCGTGGCAGCCAGCTATAGGCTCTCACTCTGGCCAGTATAAAATGACCGCAGACTACATGAAAACTGCCGTAGAAGCATGAAAAAATCGATTATTTCCACTATCGATGGGAGTTGGGAAATGCAAAGTCGGTCTTGGCCTTTTCCTCTAACTTGGAGCATGTGCATGTAAATTTTGGTGCAAATCCGTCGAAAATTGCGGCCGTGCATTCGTTACACACACACACACACACACACACACACACACACACACACACATCCTGCCTTATATATATATATATATATATATATATATATATATATATACCGGTTGTAAGAGCCATATTGTCCAAATTTTCCGAGTTTTTTTATAACACTTTGGGACTCTAATTTGAACAATAAGAATGTATTTAGCTCTAAGTTGAAATGATGATCCCTCTTCCTGTTTTTATCTCTTGATTCAGTTTTCTTCTCTAGTGTTCCCTTTTTTTAAAGACATATTCACTATTGTCTTGATGGTTCTTGAATGGACTTTGAAAATGGAATCCAGAGTATGAATACTGTTACCATTTCTGAAGGCCTGAATGATCATTATCCTCTAACCCTTGCTCAGTTGAACAGACAAAACCTATTCTCTTTCTAGCTGAATAACTCAAAGGGTTTTTCAGTGATTCTTACGACAAATTGTGTCAAGATGGCTAGGCGTCTTATTTGAAAACCTGGAAAAAAGTAACTCATTTATTTAATTAATTTTGCATTCGTGTTGGTTATATTTTTCGCATGAGTAATTCAGGATTTGTCCTTGTACAAGGGATAGTTTTACCCAACACCGCAACTTGCTACAATGCCAAAATACGGCCCCACGTACAATGTACTGGTGATGACGTAGGTAGTCATAGTTGAGATAAGAACAGGAAATCAGCATCCTCTAACAAGAGTTCCAAGAAATGGGACTCGAGATAAACTTTTCCAAAACAGAAACTAATCTGGAATTGGAATGAAATCAATGATGGCGTCCAAACTGAAACCATTATACCGGCTGTAACAGCAAAATTGTCCAAATCGTGTAACAGCAAAATTGTCAAATTGTTAAATTAAGCTTTGAACCGTGCTTAGAAATGATTGGTTTAGAGAATTCCAGTAAGATATCTTTATCTTACTGGAATTCTCTAATTTTTTTTGTAAATCTATTGGATTCTACTTTGGTCTATAAGAATGTATTTACCTCTAAGTTAAAAGGAAGATCCCTCTTACTTTTGTGACCTCCTGATTCAGTTTTCCTTTCTACTGCTCTTTTTAAAACTTATTCGCCGTTCCCTTAATGATTATACAATGGACCTTGAAAATGGAAACCAGGGCATGAATGTTGGTATATTACTGAAGGAATGAATGATCATTATCCTCTCACCATTGTTCAGTAGGGAAGACATAGTGAGGCTGACACAAAACGATTTTAACCTGTTTTATTTCTAGCTGAATAACTCAAAGTTTTTTTTCAGTCATTCTTACGACAAACGGTATCAAGATGGCTAAACGTCTTTTCTGAAAACCTGGAAAAAATAAACTCAGTTAGTTTAGTGTTTTTTAGATATGGGATGGAAATTATTGTACGCACACTGTTACATGATTTGGACAATATTGCCGTTACACTCGGTACACACACACACACACACACACACACACACACATATATATATATATATATATATATATATATATGAGGGACTCTCCCGTCGAGTTCGATGTATGAGGTTCCGACGACCACAAACTCATTATCTGTATGCCTATGACAGGCATGACTTTTAAGACCAGCTCAAGAATTGAACAAAAGGGCATAAACAGTTACAGGAGAATGTATTCTATCCAAGTGCAGCAGGAGACACTGTTCGATGTCTTATTTTGCTTTCTCGTTTAATGTAGTCAACTGATGCTTACTTCTCAGTACAGATATATCAATGTTGCACTTCTTTAGCTCCAATGCGACCAGAGCTGTTTTTTCTTTCTGGTGCTGAGTTGTTGTCCTGCAGAGTTCGTACATTCCAAGTGACAAGATGATGTTGAAATGTTGTTTCGTAGAGTTTTTCGCAGTAGCCGGATATGTGTGGAACTAATTAGATATTCTTGTCAGAAAACCAAAACAATGATTTGTTTCAAGTGGTGAAGGCTTATGTCGGACCATCCACACTTTTGGAATCTGTCGATAAAAAAGTAACAGGGCAAAAGACTTGCCACGGAAACTATATATATATATATATATATATATATATATATATATATATATATATATATATATATAGAGAGAGAGAGAGAGAGAGAGGTAGTAATCCGTTTGTATAACCAAATCAAGTCCTATTAACACAAGATAGAATATTAAATATTAGATTTTAAATGTTAAAACTGATTCACAAAGAGCGCTCAATGTTTATTTTCATTAAACAGAGCAAAGTATTTCATACAATTGCTATGAATATACCATTAGTATATATATATATATATATATATATATATATATATATATATGTGTGTGTGTGTGTGTGTGTGTGTATCATACAGTTGCAATTATGATACCATTAGCGAATGATCATTTCCACCCGGACTCTTCAACAAACGCCATAAACAGCTTGAAAAATCCTGTGAAATTTAAATTTAAAATTCACTGAAAGTGATCATTCACTAATGGTATCTTAATTCCAGTTGTATATATATATATATATATATATATATATATATATATATATATATATATATATATATATATATATATATATATATGTTTGTATGTATGTATGAATATATATACGTATGCATTCCAGAATTTTTTCAGAACATTTTTGAGAAGCGATATGTATTAATTTCAAATAAATACAAATGTAATATCCTTTGATTTCAATGCACCAGCCAATTTTCGAAGTTCCCATGCGAGTCATCCAAATTGAACACGCCCAGGACTCTCGTCACAGCCTCCTTCATCTTCTCAGTATCTTCAAAATGACTGCCCTTGAGGTTCTCCTTCAACAAACATAAGTCACAGGGAGAAGAGCCCGGAAATGAACAGTCTTGTTACCTATCTCTATCGACACAAAACTTATCGAGCTTCCAAATTGTCTTCACGTCCCGACTGCATTCTGCAAACTGGTCAGCTATGAAAAGAAGTGTTTAGTAGGGTGTGTTCAAAGAGCAGCTCTTACAACTGTCTCCATCAGTCTAGACTAACAAGTATTGGCCGGTCAGCTTGTAGAGTAAACATCAGAAAGAGACATTTGAAAATTCTAGATGATGCATAACATAAAAAAGAAAGAGGGCTTGGAATATTTTATATTCACAGGATATATTGAAAACGAGAGAGAACAACGCATAACTTACCCAGCGAGTTTAAATAAATGGATGGTAGAACAGGATTTAGGAGAGATAAAAAAAAACAGAATTTATTACGAGCTACAAAAGCCCGGAAAGGACACAACACATAGAAGAAGAAGAAGAAGAAGAAGAAGAAGAAGAAGAAGAAGAAGAAGAAGAAGAAGAAGAAGGGGAGGATGAGAAGGAGGAGAAGAAGAAGCGAAGAAGAAGAAGAAGAAGAACTAGAAGAAAGGGAGGAGGAAGAGAAGAAGAAGAGGAGAAAGAGGAGGAGGAGAAGGAGAAGAAGAAGAGAAGGAGGAGATAAAGAAGAAGTAGAAGTAAGAGAGAAGGGGGAAGAAAAAGGAAAAGGACGAAGAAGATGGAGATTTACAAAATTACAATGATCTAGAACAGTTATAACGGCCGCTCTTTAAAACGTCTCAAAAGTTTTGGAATGGCCCCCTACACCCCCATATATATATATATATATATATATATATATATATATATATATATATATACGCAAGATTAGATAGGCTTCCTTTCCGACCACCTCGTTGTAAGTCGCAAGTCGACTATCTTCAGTAATACGTTGAAGTAGCCACGCCATTTCACATCAGTTTCTTTTTTTGTCTTGATTCAGAGATTCAAAAAACATGAATAGAAAGAAAAAAAAAAGGTTCTATAGAAACATGTCGCCTTGTTAAAAGTGCATGATGTACCTTATGGTGCTATTTTCTTTTTCGGTATTAACAGCTGCCAGACGAACAAATATATATATATATATATATATATATATATATATATATATATATATATATATATCAAAAATACTTATTGCAGGGTTCTTTACAGGATGTGGCTACTAAGTGAGTCTTGTGCAACGTAAGCCGAGATAATGCTTCAACTCACCAGTATGCTGGAGAATAGACCGCTCACCCATTATCTTTCAGCCACCCTACTAATATGTCATGACACAGTACGAATATACTTGGGTATATGACGAAGTTCGTCAGTTCGAGTTATTTTAACCTTAGTCCGTCGTAAACGTGAACTATCATAATCTTATTAATTTTATTCAACTTTCCGAATTAGTTTATATAATCAGTAAATTTAGTTTTTATTCTTCTCGTTTATTTTTATTTCTTTACTAACAGCTATAACCAGTTGGTCGATTGAAAGGTAAACGAAAGATAAGATATGTGCAGTAAAAATCGCCGTTTTTCGCACATTACACGGGTTTTCACTATATGGGTGGACTCAATTATCAAGTTAAATGACTGTTAAAAAATTAACTTATTGCTGGACACAATTAAGTGAAGTCTGTATTTTATTGCCTGAACCCCAATAGTGGTAGTTTTTAGTTTAAAATTTGTGTTTTAATCGATTTGAGTTAAATCGATTTTTTCGTTTTTCACTAAAAGCAGTGTAGTAGAAATAAAAATGAGGTATTGTTGAGCTCGCCATGATGTAAGTAACCTACATACCGAGTTTGAACGACTTCTATGGGTCACTGATGTGTTTATAAAAAAATAAATAAATACGCAAAAAGTAGCCTTTCTTTCTGCCGCGCGCTGATAGGCTAGGGGTTAGAATCTCCAACTAATGCTCAACCGGTCAGGTTTCGGTCCCGGCTTGAAGTGATCGGATGTCTAGCCACACTGATGATCAGTGATGCAGCGAATCAGTCTGTCTGTGGAGGATGACGATATATATATATATATATATATATATATATATATATATTCATCGCATTCATTTCAAGCTGTAAAGTTACTAAGACACAAGGCCATATTGGGTGTAGAAGAATCCTTACTATGAAGTGAGAATAAAAGAAGAGTAATCAAGAGGACATTACATAGCGATTGACATTACATTTAAATTTTTGAAGTTTATAGTTGGCTGGAAAGCGTGAAGTCGGAAGGGGGTTCCACAAGTGAGAAGTGCGAGAAAAGAAACTGTTAGCATAGAACTTACGGTTACATCTAGCCAATTCAACTGTGAATTGATGAGACTTTGTCGCCAGTCTAATACTCCACTTAAATTCAGAAAGCGTGGTTGAAACCCTTGGCGATTTCATTGAATAAATTTATTCTTTAGTACTTCAATTTGTAGATATATCTGTTAAACTGCCAGTGTTATTTCCTTTTTTTTTTTTTTTCCTAATTAAGACGACAATTTATCCATCGCACTCTGTATATTGCGAAAATAAGTTGTGTGTCAGCTCTTACGACACCGAATAATTTTTTTAGAGATTCATGCCACCCGAAACCCAGAGTCGTGGTGATTTGATCCGCTACACATTTGGCAAATATATGTTTCATTGAATTAAGTATCTGTCTCGTGATACTATATCTCATTTTTTTTATACTTTAAGCTGTTTAATAATTATTCTTTATTACAAATGTACACTGGCGTGCTAACTTTTTGGGCCCAACTGCATAATTTTTTTTTTATATACCTTTATTTATTTAACATTGTTTAGCAGTATGCTTTTATCAGTAGTTTCCTGTCAACCTTGAAGAATGGAAAATAAGTTTCTGCATCTTTCTAGGCAACATGCAACAGGAGATACACGTCTGTAAGCTGCTTGAAACTGAACAAAGGTCATGCAAAACTATTGTTCCAATGATAGATCTGAGCTGATAAAGTCATGATAATATGAGAATTTCTAAATAGCGATGGCACCATCGGATGATGATGATTGTATGGTACCTTGGTAAGTCATTGTAGTTGTAAATTAGCATGCCTGTTTTACACCAAAACCATAGCTAAAAATTCTGCTGAAATAACGATGAAGGTTGTGATATGGAAGGTGGCAAGAGATAAGCTAGGCGGCTGGGAATTTTCAGAAACTGATCAAATCATAAACAAAGACGTTTGCTACTACAAGAAGTGCAAAGAAAACCGTGTGATATCAAATGTTAGACAAAAGAAATGGAAGAAAGACTGCAAGACTCTCGGTGGGCAATTCAAAATTAACAGCCACGCAAATACCTAGGGCTGCTGGTAGGAATGTTAGTTCTCTCTGTCGTTATTAGACAGTTCTTCGCGCCAGAATCTATTTTACATTTTTATAAGTTTACCATTTGTCCATACATTGAATATTGCTGCCACTTTCGAGATACTTGATAAACTCCAAAGAAGAATATGCAATTTTATCGATCATGATCTGTCATCTAGGCTCCAGTTAATTTCCCACTGACATAAACTAGCTTCATTTTGGCTTTTCTATAAATACTGTGGAGTTAACCCCACTTACTTTCCTAACTAAACCCTCCCCCCACTAGGGGATGCTTTCTGAACTTATAAATACACTGTGATATTTACTATCATTCTCTTTTTTCCTATTTTCCTTAGACACGCTAGTATATAGGTCTGTCGTGAAAACGTGTATTGTATTGGGAAACATACCAACAAACACACACACACACACACGTACGCAATTTCATTTTTCATAGGACACATTTTACAAACACGAACAATTTACTAGTTTTTAAATGTTTTCATGGATGAACATTGTTTTGACACGTGCATAAAATATTTGTCTTTGTCGCTTTCAACAATGTAACTTTTTGTATTATTAATAATACATTATCGTTTGTATATATATATATATATATATATATATTACTTTTTGTTTCTTCTTTGTATTTTATTACCCGGGCACACATGCAAGTCCGCCATTTTTTATGCGTGATAAACATTCCAGGAGACACGTGTTTTCCACCTCAAACACCAACGTACATCAACTTTTATGGTAATTGTTCTGATGAACTTTCCTCTGTGGTACCTAGACTTTATGAAGTTAAGCGCAGTACTAGATTGGCGGCGAGGTCCCATCATTTTACACTTGAAATGGCTAGATAGAACCGCAAGTTTTATACTTTTTTACTCGAACTTCGCACTTGAGGAACTCTCTTTACATCTTTTTGCTTCCCGGACAACTTTGATTTTCAAAAATTTAAATGCAATGTCAAAAGCTATCTTCTGTTTACTTAATTCTTGTTCTTTTCTTGTTCACTCTCCTTAATAATGTTTTTCCTTGTCTTATATTCTTTTAGGCTCTGTAAAACTCCGACACTACGTCTTAGTGGCTTTATTACCACTCTTGGGGTGAAATGAATAGAAAGAAATATCAGATAATAAAGAAAAAGTATCTGTAGATAGTTATGATTGCTTACATTTTTATTTTAAGCATTACACCCCTAGCAAGGGGGAGGGGGAAGCCACTACGATGCGAGGGGTTAGAGAGGATTTGGAACGAGATCAGATGTGAGTGATAGAGGAAAGGATGAGGAGAAGGATAGTGGATAGATCAAGGCAACTGGAGATGTCGATAGACATTACATTTGAATAGTTGGAGTTTATAGCTCTCATGGAAACTAGAATATAGAAGGGAGTTCCACAGGTGAAAGGTGCGAGATATGAAGCTATTGGAGTAGAAGAGACGGCTACGTTTAATAGTTTCGACAGTGAAAGGGTGATAGTGGGATGCCAGCCTCGTCCTGGAGTAACATTGCATTAAAACTGAATATGGCATTAACAAAAATTGTTGGAAGATAACACTAGAAACGAAGAAAGGTTTTCTAGAAATACTGTATAATGTCGACCAGTCTACATGTAAGTGAGAGCTAGTCAGTCTCCTTCTAGATGGAGAAAAGACTTGAATCGACTGAGACGTGGGTTTTCCCGAGAAATTCTAGGAAAAATTATGGACCGAACCTGTGAGAAATGATGTCTGGAGTGGAATAGTAAGTTTCCGAAAAAAAGAAAAAATAATAAAAGAAAAATTTGATGGGCTTTCGGGACAAATAATGAAGAAAGAAGTCTTGGAGAAACTAACATTCACAAGGGGCATCGGATAGAAGAGAAAGGTCGTCAAACGGAAAGTATAAAAAGAAGGTTTGAATTATAGTTACCCAATACATAAAAAAAAGGTAGGAAGAGAGAGGGTGAGAAGAACGGGAAGAGGAAGAGTGAAAAAAGGACGGAGAGAGAAACAGATAGAGATAGAGGGGGTAGATATAGAGAGAGGAACAAAGAGGAAGAGTGAGAGAGATAAAAAATGAGAGAGGGGAGATTGAGAAAAGGGAAGGGAGAGAGAGGGAGAGACCTATGGAGATAGAGGAACAGAAGGTGAGGATGAGAAAGAGAGAGACGGAGAAAGAGATGGGTTGAGAGACAAAGAAATGAAGAGAGAAGGAGAGAGGCAGAAAGAAAAGAGGGAGAGAGATAAAGAGAGTAAGAGAGAGCGGGAAAGAGATAGCGATAAAAAGCGGCCAGCCATATCAAAACTCTTTTTTTCTTCTGAGAACGTTGTTACTCTAATTTTGCATATCCTGTTAAAAACTGTTTCTCGTTACATATGAACGCCTCCTATCGTATGTACAAGATCTGAACCCGGATGCGCATGCATTTGTGTATCCAGGATTGTGTCGGTGTATAGATACGCACGTGCATTCACCCCACGACACACACCGCGATAATCCATTATAATTATTTTCGTATTAGAACCCCTAACGGCCTCCGCATATGGTGGCCAATCACTGAAGCAGACAAAAGGCCACGCCCATTTTGATTTCTTATCTTAATCTCTCTCTCTTTCACTCTCCATCTTTCACGCTTTCACTCTCTCTCTCTCTCTTCTTCTCTCTGACACACACAAAAACTCACAATTTCGCTGGTTCGCACATTAACACTAACTGCCTATAAATGAGAATAGTTCTATATAAAAGTTCTGGAGAATATCATGACTGTCGCCTGAAGAATTTTTAATATGAAACAAAGAGCATGATTACATGGTCTTCAAGGACCATTCCTTTCTTTTTATATGAAAATGGAGATTTGATGAATTAGGACCAAACTTTTGGTCTTAAGGAAATAAATTATAATACCTTACAGTTGTCTGTTTCTTAATATAATTGATATTTGCTCTGTTTTCACATTGAGCTCTCTGGATTATTTTCTTTTAGTATTATCCAAACGGATTAACAAATAATTTCATTAACTAACTAACTAACTAACTATATATATATATATATATATATATATATATATATATATATATATATATATATATATATATATGAAAAAATCGCGACGTGATCATATTTAAACGGAACGGTGATCTTATAAAAGATTTCAGTTATCTGTTTGGATTGGTATTGCTTTTATGTCCATCGTCTTTTTAATGTTGAATTATATATGGTCTATGTTAATTATGTTTTATGAATATGTCCTGAAGATGGTCTATTAGACCGAAACGTCCGACGTTGACATTAAACATTAAAACAGCATAATGGCATATTAGGATTTTTTTTTGTTTTTTCAGTATATTTTTCTTCATACTGTCGGATCTATATCCATATATTTGATTACATATATATATATATATATATATATATATATATATATATATAATTGCTAATCACACAAAATGTTTAATATCTAAAAAACCACTAACCTAATTGAGTTCCTTTTTTCCAGGTTTTCAGAAAAGAAGTTTAGCCATCTTGACACCATTAGTCGTAAGAATCATTGAAAACCCCTCTGAGTGATTTAGCTAGAATTAGAACATGTTTTGTGTCAGACCCACTGTTTCTCAAATGATCAATGGTGAGAGGAAAAAGACCATTCATGCCTAAATCAATGGTACCGATATTCATACATGCTTCCATCGTCCATTCAAGAACTATCCAGAGAACGGTGAATAAGTGTACAAATGAGGGAATAGTAGAGAGAAAAACTAGATCAGGAGGTCACAACAAGAAGAGAGATCATTGTTTCAATTTAGAGATAGAGAGATCAATTAGAAAAGATCCAACTCAATCCCTAAGACAGCTATGACAGTCCAAACAGCAGTGAAAAAAGATTTGAAAATGAAATTTTTCGTGAAATATGTGAGTCACTTGGTTACTCTAAGACAGAAAGTTAAAAGGATAGAGAGAGCGAAGATTATATTGCATAAGATGAAAAATGATCCTGGAATAATATATATATATAATATATATATATATATATATATATATATATTTGAACTCTATATCAATCCTTCATGAGCTTCTGATACTCAGCTGTGATTAATTACTGATGAACATGTCATGTTCGTTTACGATCAATTTCAACACAATTCTTCTATTAAGTTTGGAGAGTAAATCTTGGAGGCTAATTATACATTCTTATTGCTCTAAGTAGAGTCCAATGTTGTTATAAAATCTCGGAGAATTCCATTAAGATATCTTTAATCATTTCTAAGATACAACAGTTAAAGATTAATCTAACAATTGGACAAAGGTAAGGTGAAATGCTGGTTTATAGTAGGGAGCCCAAACACGTGCACTTAAGCTTTAAAAATTTCCAGGTCCACGCAACGAACATCGCTCTAGCATCGGTATTCCACTCACCATCCTTCTCTTTTGCAATGTGGGAGGTGCTGTGACATTCTTGGAGATCCGCGGGACCAAAGTTCCCCATTTGTTGTGATATGGCCGAAGAGGGACCAAAATTGATAGATAAAATGTTATCTGTCCGCTCAAAGGTGCGTACTACACTTCGTATTTAATCGATCAACCACCGCCACAGTGACAAAATTTGGCACATGGCCGATTTAAATCGGGGAGTCCAAACGCGTGGTACTGGTGCCGATATTCCACTTACTCTTTCTCTTAGGTGCCACGAGAGAGGTGCTGCCGCAAAGTAGAAACCCCAGGGAACAGGCTTCCTTCATTTATTTGCTTTGTTATTTCCAAAGATAAAAACACATTTGAGAGATATAATGTATTTTTTCCGCGTGAAGGCAGGCTTCCTTTTACTTGTCGCCTCACGCTGCCAGGATGTGAAACAAGGTCAGTTTAGAGAGGTCAGCCAGAGTGCGTGCGCCATAGCCTAGTCCCCGCAAACGCTGTTTATTTTATTTTATTTTATTTTTTTATTTATTTTATTTTATTTTATTTTTTTTTTTTTTTTTGTTAAGCATTTCACCCAAGGAAGGCGGGAAGCCACTAGCACGCAAGGGGTTACGAGAGTTGAAGCGAGAGCAAAGAGGAGTGATAGAGGAAAGGATGAAGGTAAGGTTAGGGGATAGATTAAGTCATCTGGAGACGTCGATTGACATTACATTTGAATAGTTCGAGATTATAGCTATCAGGAAAACAAGAAATGGGGAGGGAGTTCCACATGCGAGAAGTGCGAGACATGGAGCTATAGGAGTAAAAGAGACAGTTTCGTCAGTGAAAGTTTGCGAGTGAGATGCCAGCCTAGTTGAACGCTTAAATCCATGAAGTCTAGGAACCAGCGAAAGCAACTCATCGTAGCAGTTACCGTGAAAGTAATTGTTAAAAAAAAGACAGAGGGAGGCGACAGTTGCGCTAGGATCCGGTATTACTACCGACTCCCAACGCCTTAGTGCAATGAGGGAGGTACTGCTGCGAACAGCTGTTTCCTGGGACCGGGAACGTCTCCATATTTTTTTCAGTTGCGCCCTTCAGGAAGACAGAGACACAATGAGAGTTGTGCTCTGCCCAAAGACAAAGAAACAATTGAGAGGCAAAATGCAGTTTATACTACACTTTGATCCGAGCCGGTGAACTTCGCTCGGATTCTGATATTTGGTGACATTAAGTCGAGATCATTAGGTGTGTCACACTGCCTTTGATCTTGATCGCGACAGTTTTAATGCTGCTGTTACAATGTAAACATGGCCGCTCTGCCAGCAGTGTGCATCAAAGAAGAACAAAGAGCAGCCATCCGATTTCTGGGTTGAAATTCATCGGAGGCTTTTAGCACAATACATCGACAGTGCACTACTTTGTAGAAGTGTGTATGAGTGAATTGAGAAGTTTAAAATGACCGGACAAGAAGTGACGCACGAAAAATGAGCAGGACGCCCGTCAGCCTCCACCACAAACGAAAGGATTCAACAAGCTTGAGGGGTGGTAATGGCGAACCGGCGTATTATCATCGATGGGGTAGGATGTTGTTTGCAGCTACGGATCACAGCACTTTGTTCTTGCTTGGTGTATACTGCTGGCGAAGCGGTCATGTTTACACTGGAGCAGCAGCAAGATAACTGGCGTGATCAAGTTTAAACTACGATCACGTGACCACAATAGTAACTTCTATAGGTACGCATGAGCAGAAGGTAGCATGGCAAACCTAAGGATGTGTTATGGCGAATGTGGCGATAATTATAATACCCTCGTACAAATGGTAAAGAAACTGTTGCCCAGGCCATTACCTTGAATTACGGTGTGGTGGGAGAAATACCAAACCCCCTTTGCGCAAATCATGACAATATGATCCTCGGGACCCTGAAAACTTTCACATGACCACACCACTGACTTGCACGCCAAGATTTCTTTTGCCTAAATTAATAGTTGTTATTTTTGGAGTTTTTGAGGACATTTTTTCTTATTGAATCTCAGACTCGTGAGTTTTTCAGCTAACTTCATACAGTTCAGCTTTTTTTTTTAAACTACTAATGATGACCGTCCTGGGTATGACGGTAAACTACATCCGCGTCCTGGGTAAGACGATAAATTACGGCCGACAACAAGGCCTCTGATCAGGAGGTTTTGAGGAGCGTGGAACCACCCCTTAATTACTGGTGTTCCCAGATCCACCCTGACCCAGAGTGGTAGCGCCTGTTAGGGTCCCAGCTATGGGCAAATATTTAACCCCGAAACTGGGGTAAAAATGGGTTTTAATACCAGGAATACTTTGTAAAAAAAAAAAAAAATCGGCAATAAATATTTAAAGAAAAAATTATTACCAAGAATTACGTTTTTTGAAAAAATCTTTCACTTCTTTACGAAGAGCTATTTCTCTCTTCTATCTCTCTTTCTCTCTCTCTCTTTCTATCACTCTGTATATCTATCTATCTCATTCTGAATCTGTGATTTTGATCCTATCTATCTATCTATCTATCCTATCTATCTATCTATCTATCTATCTATCTATCTATCTGATCCTGATTCTTTCTTTCTTTCTTTCTTTTCTTTCTTTCTTTCATTCTATGTGATTATAATTCTACCTATCTCATTCTGATTCTATCTTAGCCTATTTCTTTCTTTCTATCTATCTATCTATCTATCTATCTATCTATCTATCTCTCGGTCTGTTCATATGTCTGTCTGTTTATATATATCCATCTACTCGAATCCATATCTATCTATCTATCTATCTATCTATCTATCTATCTATCTATCTGATCCTGATTCTTTCTTTCTTTCTTTCTATCTGATTATAATTCTACCTATCTCATTCTGATTCTATCTTAGCCTATTTCTATCTATCTATCTATCTATCTATCTATCTATCTATCTATCTATCTGATCCTGATTCTTTTCATTCTTTCTTTCTTTTTTTATATATTCTTTCATCTATGTGATTATAATTCCCTATCTCATTCTGATTCTATCTTAGCCTATTTCTATCTATCTATCTATCTATCTATCTATCTATCTATCTGATCCTGATTCTTTCTTTCTTTCTTTCTTTCTTTCTTTCTTTCTATGTGATTATAATTCTACCTATCTCATTCTGATTCTATCTTAGCCTATTTCTATCTATCTATCTATCTATCTATCTATCTATCTATCTATCTATCTCGGTCTGTTCATATGTCTGTCTGTTTATATATATCCATCTACTCGAATCCATATCTATCTATCTATCTATCTATCTATCTATCTATCTATCTATCTATCTATCTCGGTCTGTTCATATGTCTGTCTGTTTATATATATCCATCTACTCGAATCCATATCTATCTATCTATCTATCTATCTATCATCTATCTATCTCGGTCTGTTCATCTGTCTGTTTATATATATCCATCTACTCGAATCGATATCTATCTATCTATCTATCTATCTGATCCTGATTCTTTCTTTCTTTCTTTCTTTCTATTTGATTATAATTCTACCTATCTCATTCTGATTCTATCTTAGCCTATTTCTATCTATCTATCTATCTATCTATCTATCTATCTATCTGATCCTGATTCTTTCTTTCTTTCTTTCTTTCTTTCTTTCTATTTGATTATAATTCTACCTATCTCATTCTGATTCTATATATCTTAGCCTGTTTCTTTGTATCTATCTATCTATCTATCTATCTATCTATCTATCTATCTATCTATCTGATTCTGATTCTTTCTTTCTTTCCGTTTATAATTCTATCCATCTCATTCTGATTCTATCTATCTATCTATCTATCTATCTATCCTTAATCTGAGTGATAGCGCTACTGAAAATATGTGAAAGGGTTCATGCCTTTCCTGCCACGAAAAAAAAAAATGACGCTAAGACACTGGAGGTAGATTTTGAACCCGAGATCATCGAGCCGATAGCAGCCGCACAAAAACATGTTTCTCTTTCGTTGAATTAATGGGAGAATAATATTCAAAATGAAACCCCTGAAAGAAAGAGGAGACGCATTTGTGCTTGTCAATTTATCAAACACATTACACGCTTCTATTAACGTTTCAGATACTTATTTTTGCATCTATCATGAGGAAGTCATCATTATATGCGAAAAAGGGAGAATGCACACGCCTCTCCTCCACCACGTGCGACGCGCGCGCGCACACACACACACACAACAAGCTTTCGCTTTTATACGGACTACGAGAGTGTATAAAGTGTCCGTAGTGATCATTGTTGTCCCAAGCGCTTTCAGCCAATACATTTAGCCAGTTACCAACCAAATCTAGAGACCCCAGTCTGCGCTGCTATTAACCTCTCAGAGCGGGTAGGGATAGGACGCAATCATACCTTCCAAAGGTATTTGTGCGAAAGCGAACGCAACGCTTTAGGCTGATATTTGAACTCGACACACCAGTCATACTTTATGCGCTAATAACCAGTACGCTACATATCTATCTATCTATCTATCTATCTATCTATCTTTGTCTGTTCATTATTTATTTCAGTCTCTTCATCTGTTTCTATCTATCTATCTATCTATCTTTGTCCGTTTATTTCAGTCCGTTCATATATTTTGTCTTTGTGAGTGTTTGTGAAAATATATAGAAAATAGGAAAGATTTCTGTCATGGGTCATTAACTATAACTACAAAATGAACTCTTCCTAACACTATGTATAATACGCCTCTCAAGAGAGAGGGTCGAATCAAGCCGATCTTTTCGACTTGACGGTCTAACTCTCTGCTCTTGAGCAGAAAGGAACCCGGACGAGGTTCCGCCGAAGGGCAGAATCTCGTTCGGGGTGAAATGACCTACCCGATCTCGTTTTTACGAGTTCTACGGGCATTTTTTTGGCTGAGCCTGCGGGCTCAGGAAACCCACGATAAAAACGACCTTGTGTCGCATGCAACCCTCGTGGGGGGTGGCTAGATACTGAATCAAGCCGATCATTTCGACTTGACGGAACCCGGACGAGGTTCCGCCGAAGGGCAGAATCTCGTTCGGGGGAATGACCTACCCGATCTCGTTTTTTACGAGTTATACAGGCTATTTTTTGGCTGAACGGGCTCAGGAAACCCACGATAAAAATGACCTTGGTTCCGCCCTCGTGGGGGTGGCTAGATACTGAATCAAGCCGATCTTCTCGACTTGACGGTCGAACTCTCTGCTTTTTTGAGCAGAAAGGAACCCGGACGAGGTTCCGCCGAAGGGCAGAATCTCGTTCAGGGGTGAATGACCTACCCTATCTCGTTTTTACGAGTCATACGGCATATTTTTGGCTGAGCCTATGGGCTCAGGAAACCCACGATAAAAATGACCTTGTGTCGCATGCAACCCTCGTGGGGGGTGGCTAGATACCGAATCAAGCCGATCTTCTCGACTTGACGGTCGAACTCTCTGCTTTTGAGCAGAAAGGAACCCGGACGAGGTTCCGCCGAAGGGCAGAATCTCGTTCGGGGTGAATGACCCTACCCTGATCTCGTTTTTACGAGTCATACGGGCATATTTTTGGCTGAGCCTACGGGCTCAGGAAACCCACGATAAAATGACCTTGTGTCGCATGCAACCCTCGTGGGGGTGGCTAGATACCGAATCAAGCCGATCTTCTCGACTTGACGGTCGAACTCTGCTTTTGAGCAGAAGGAACCCGGACGAGGTTCCGCCGAAGGGCAGAATCTCGTTCAAGGTGAAAGACCTACCCGATCTCGTTTTTACGAGTCATACGGGCATATTTTTGGCTGAGCCTACGGGCTCGGGAAACCCACGATAAAAACGACCTTGTGTTTGCAACCCTCGTGGGGGGTGGCTAGATACTGAATCAAGCCGATTTTTTTCAGACTTGAGGTCTAACTCTGCTCTTGAGCAGAAAGGAACCCGGACGAGGTTCCGCCGAAAATGAATCTCGTTCGGGTGAATGACCTACCCGATCTCGTTTTTACGAGTTATACGGGCCTATTTTTGGCTGAGCCTACGGGCTCAGGAAACCCACGATAAAAATGACCTTGTGTCGCATGCAACCCTCGTGGGGGTGGCTGAATACTGAATCGCCGATCTTCTCGACTTGACGGTCGAACTCTCTGCTTTTGAGCAGAAAGGAACCCGGACGAGGTTCCGCCGAAGGGCAGAATCTCGTTCGGGGTGAATGACCTACCCTATCTCGTTTTTACGAGTCATACGGGCATATTTTTTTGGCTGAGCCTACGGGCTCAGGAAACCCACGATAAAAATGACCTTGTGTCGCATGCAACCCTCGTGGGGTGGCTAGATACCGAATCAAGCCGATCTTTTCGACTTGACGGTCGAACTCTCTGCTTTTGAGCAGAAAGGAACCCGGACGAGGTTCCGCCGAAGGGCAGAATCTCGTTCGGGGTGAATGACCCTACCCTATCTCGTTTTTACGAGTCATACGGGCATATTTTTGGCTGAGCCTACGGGCTCAGGAAACCCACGATAAAAAATGACCTTGTGTCGCATGCAACCCTCGTGGGGGGTGGCTAGATACTGAATCAAGCCGAGCTTCTCGACTTGACGGTCGAACTCTCTGCTTTTGAGCAGAAAGGAACCCGGACGAGGTTCCGCCGAAGGGCAGAATCTCGTTCGGGGTGAAAGACCTACCCTGATCTCGTTTTTACGAGTCATACGGGCATATTTTTTTGGCTGAGCCTACGGGCTCAGGAAACCCACGATAAAAACGACCTTGTGTCACATGCAACCCTCGTGGGGGTGGCTAGATACTGAATCATGCCGATCTTCTCGACTTGACGGTCGAACTCTCTGCTTTTGAGCAGAAAGGAACCCGGACGAGGTTCCGCCGAAGGGCAGAATCTCGTTCGGGGTGAAAGACCTACCCTGATCTCGTTTTTACGAGTCATACGGGCATATTTTTGGCTGAGCCTACGGGCTCAGGAAACCCAATAAAAAAACGACCTTGTGTCGCATGCAACCCTCGTGGGGGTGGCTAATACCGAATCAAGCCGATCTTCTCGACTTGACGGTCGAACTCTCTGCTTTTGAGCAGAAAGGAACCCGGACGAGGTTCCGCCGAAGGGCAGAATCTCGTTCGGGGTGAAAGACCTACCCTGATCTCATGATCTCGTTTTTACGAGTCATACGGGCATATTTTTTGGCTGAGCCTACGGGCTCAGGAAACCCACGATAAAAATGACAGAATCTTTGTGTCACATGATCAACCCTCGTGGGGGGGTGGATAAAATGACCGAATCAAGCCGAGGCTTCTCGACTTGACGGTCGAACTCTGCTTTTGAGCAGAAAGGAACCCGGACGAGGTTCCGCCGAAGGGCAGAATCTCGTTCGGGGTGAAAGACCTACCCTGATCTCGTTTTTACGAGTCATACGGGCATATTTTTGGCTGAGCCTCGGGCTCCAGGGAAACCCACGATAAAAATGACCTTGTGTCACATGCAACCCTCGTGGGGGGTGGCTAGATACCGAATCAAGCCGAGGCTTCGACTTGACGGTCGAACTCTCTGCTTTTGAGCAGAAAGGAACCCGGACGAGGTTCCGCCGAAGGGCAGAATCTCGTTCGGGGTGAATGACCTACCCTGACTTCGTTTTTACGAGTCATACGGGCATATTTTTTGGCTGAGCCTACGGGCTCCAGGAAACCCACGATAAAAACGACCTTGTGTCACATGCAACCCTCGTGGGGGGTGGCTAGATACCGAATCAAGCCGAGGCTTCTCGACGACGGTCCAACTCTGCTTTTGAGCAGAAAGAACCCGGACGAGGTTCCGCCGAAGGGCAGAATCTCGTTCGGGGTGAATGACCCTGACTTGTTTTTACGAGTCATACTCTGAGCCTACGGGCTCAGGAAACCCACGATAAAAAATGACCTTGTGTCAGCCCTCGTGGGGTGGCTAGATACGAATCGACCGGGAGGCTCTCGGTCGAACTCTGCTTTTGAGCAGAAAGGAACCTCGAGGTTCCGCCGAAGGGCGGAATCTCGTTCGCGGTGAATGACCTACCCGATCTCGTTTTTACGGGTTATACGGGCATTTTTTGGCTGAGCCTACGGGCTCCGGAAAATCCACGATAAACTCGGCCTTGTGCCACATGCAACCCTCGTGGTGGGTGGCTGAGATACCGAATCAAGCCGAGCTTCGCGGCTTGAACGTCGAACTCTCCCTCTGAGCAGAGAGGAACCCGGTCGAGGCTCCGCCGAAGGGCAGAGTCTCGTTCGGGGAGGTTAACCAACCCGATCCCGTTTATACGGGTTCTACGGGCATTTTTGTCCGAGCCTACGGGCTCAAAACCCACATTAAACTCGGCCTTGTGCCATATGCAACCCTCGTGGGTGGGTGGCTAGATACCGAATCAAGACGAGCTTTTCGGGGAGGTTGACCAACCCGATCCCGTTTATACGGGTTCTACGGGCATTTTTGGTTGAGCCTACGGGCTCTGAAAACCCACGTAAAACACGGCCTTGTGCCACATCTTTCCCTCGTGGGAGGACAAGTAAATATCGAATCGAGACGATTTTCTTGGCCCGACGATCGAACTCTCTGCCTCTGAGCAGAGAGGAACCCGGACGAGTATCGTCCGGGGAGGTTGACCAACCCGATCCCGTTTATACGGGTTCTACGGGCATTTTTTGGCCGAGCCTACGGGCTCGGGAAACCCACGTTAAACTCGTCCTTGTGCCACATGCAACCCTCGTGGGGGGTGACTAGATACCGAATCAAGCCGAGCTTCTCGACTTGACAGTCGAACTCTCGGCCTCTGAGCAGCGAGGAACCCGGACGAGGCTCCGCCGAAGGTCAGAGTCTCGTTCAGGGATGTTGACCAACCC